TGGTCCTGGAACACAGAGACATAGAAAAGCCAGGCCCAGCCGTGGGGCCCAGATCATCTAATAAGACTTTGCGTCTTACACACTTCATGGTGCTAAAAAAACAACCACAAAACGCTCTAGTTGAGATGCTTAGCTCTAGCACACATCATTATTTTCCCTGTCTTGTTGCTCTAAGTAAATGGAAATGATTTCTCCAGAGTGTCACTCGCCACGGAGCTGTCGTGACGGAAGCACGGAGCGTTTGCTGATGCAACCGGGGACACAGAGGCGAGACGTTCTGTCCCACAGTGGGAGAAATACACAGCGCTTTTGAGTTGTTACCATCACACATAGTAACTAAAGCTAAATACAGCCAAGCATCTGCAGCTACAACTGTAGTTTTACACCTGGCACAAAATGTGCTGGAAGACTCGTGATAGGAATAAAAGAAAAAGGGAACAAGCAAATCCTGATTTCAATAACGCAAGAATAGCAGAGGAGTTGCATCAGATTAATGATAGTGCAAACCATGTGAAAGCGCAGGGCAGACATCCAGGAATACAACTGATTTGACCCTTAACACTCTTAACAAACCTCTCCATGACTTAAAAACAGGTTTATTCTTTTTCTCTAGGTAACCTCTTCCTTACAGAGCAAATTCTAGAACTATTTATCTAACTGTTTACTTTCATGTAAATTGGATTATAGCTCTTCTGAAAGCAAAGCAGTTCCAGTTCTCTCTCACTGGTTCAGCTGAAAGAATAAGAGCCTTCCAGCAGCTATGTTACCAGTAAAATTAGCAATACTGAATATCAGTGAGCTGGGTTAACTTGAAATTACCTCTTTTCCTTTGTGATAAAGTCTTTCTGATATCTACTGCTGAAAGAAAGAAAGAAAAGCCTGTGGTTTTTCTCATTAGCTCCTTTCTGCCTGTTCAATTTCCTGCTTATTGACTGAAGAGAAACCTTCTTTCTTCTAAAGCTAGAGGACGCCATCCCTCTCAGGTGGCACCCTCAGGTATCATTCTGGTTGGATCACCAGACAGCACAGCCAAGAGCAGCGTGGCCACAGCCATTTGTCTGTCACCAGCAATAACAGCAGTGTGGGGCAAAGAGCAGCAGCTAGAGAAAGCACAGTGGGACTTGGCAAGCGTGGAATGAGGGCAATTCAGGGAAACGCCACCAGAGGAATGGAACTGCTGTTTTATCAGTCCCCACATCAATTTCAGGAAAGATGGTCACTGGTTCAAACCCCCCCTTCTTTTGATGGCATTCGATTTTCCACTAAATTTGGTAGTTGCAAGAGTGAAATAAGTAGGTAAACAAGCATTTAAAAATACTTAAATAGCCACATTTACCACCAATTAAAATGCTGTATAGTATTATTATGACACTGTAAATGACGCAGAAGAAAGCACAGAAACGTGGGAGCAAGAAGAACCTCCTCGAAGGAGTTGAATCCAGTCCAGTGATACGTTAGATAAATCACATCTCATACATAATTAAGTTTCTCTTGGCTTTTTATCTGATTATACCTATTAGAAGGCTGCAGAGGATCCTCATTTCCTTTTCCCCTCAGGTTGCCTTTGCTTGAGCGCACTAAAGCCAAGATCCTCCGGATTTTGCATAGGACAGGCTCACTCTTCTGGCAACCCCTCTCCGCATGTTTTGTGTACTCTGGGGTTCTTGTTCTTGAACATAAGTGACCAAGGTGACATTTGTATTCCAAAACAGGTCTCAGTTACCTTATGCATGGGATAAAAAGTCTTAAGTAATTGAAATTAATTTAAAGGATTAGCTTGTACACTCTAACAATTCCATTAGCAAGCACACAGCTTCCACTGGAAGTACTTCACTAATGCAGCCAATTTTACTCAAAACAGGAGGTTATGCTTAGGTTAGAAAAGGAAGTCTCATTCCTCTTCTTTTAAATCAACATTACAACTTCCTCCAAGTCTTTTCCACTATGGGTTTAATTCCAAGATTTTAACTTCTCTTAAAGAACGAGCAATATAAGTAACAAGACTGGAGCTCTGCAATAAGCCCAAATGGATTATTTCTGCATTGATCCACCAACAGCGTGGGTTATGAAGAACCTGTAAAGTTTAGGAAGAACTTGTGGCTCCTAGAAGCCCCTTGGCCATCAATGCCTTAAGTACTAGATATAGGAACATGCTTAATTTTCCACATGATGATCAACAGTAGTTGATTTTCAACAGAAACACTCGAATTAAAAAAAAATATCCTTGAAAGGAATTCTAGGAATTTAGTACTTGAGCCCTTTGCAACAGACTTGACTAAAGACAGAAGGAAAACACTAATATATTGCAAATTACACATCACTCACTGCATTTCTCCTTCAACACCCATCCCCATCGAGTTACACCAACAGCAGAACGAATACTGTCCACGACTGCATCCTGTGTTCTTCAACACTAGAACTGAGCAAACACGGACTTCCTTCCCAGGAACACAAATTTGATCGTATCCCAGTTATCACAGGGACAAAATACCACAGGAAAACTGGACACAACCCTACCACTGGATCAACAAACCTATTAAGGCAGCCCACTGACTGACAAGAACACACAAGGCCACAACCACCACCACAAGGATTAAAATTGGCTTTCTGTACGTAGCAATTTTCCCCATTCTACAATAATTCAATTTTTTCCCATCCTGCATTAGGACTAACACAAAGCCCTGGTTTTTCTTTACAAGTGTGCAGCTGATGATTTTTTTTTTTAAAAAAAAAGGTACTGCTGAAAATTAGAGGAAGTCCTACTCAGCTTGGTGGCTAGGACACCCTCCTGGAATACAGAAGATCCAGCTGAACGCTGTATCCGAGAAGAGCCGCTCTCTGTCTCTCCCAATACATACATCAAACTCATCTAGCTCAATTAATATTTAATTATCCACACAAAAGGGATCAACTTCCGCAGAACAGATAGAGGGCATATTGGCTGGTGCAATGCAGCTTTGTTCAGCAAAAGTAGTTCAGGACCTGAAAACAGGCTACATTACTTGGGATTTTGGAGCTCTTGCACATGGCACTGTTGTCTCTCTTCCCAAAATAAATTGTGCCTACCTAGTCAAAACACAGAGGAATTCGACCTGGAATTCTTGTACTCTTGGCTATTCCAGGGTGTATCTCCCTCATCAAGAAAGTTAGCAATTTTGAGGTTTTCAGAAAATAATTTGTAGAATTCTTCAAGAAGTAGCAAAGGCAGGACCTGTATTTCCTTACAAAGTCACCTAAAGGTGAAGATTGGTGAGAGCTTACCTAAAACCATACCTGAGCCAGCAACATCTAGTGCATCCAAACTCAGGGACTAACAATATTTTCACTTCATATTTGTCAAGAGAAAATGCCCCATTAATATTTTCTAGTTGTAAAAGACTGATAGTTGTAAAAGAAGATACGCAAGCATTTATTATGCTTTTGAAAAGTGAAGATGAATCAGCTGTTGGAAGACTCTGAAGACTCAATATAAGAGGTGCTTTCCAAGCATTCATTTGGCAGTTCTCGCAACCTTGAAAGGCTGTGGGCTACTTTACTTGGAAAACAATAGGGAAATAAAGAAAGCATAAATACAGAGATGAAAAAAGAACCAATCCAAACACCCACTTTGACTCCTTAGACCTTCAAAACCTCTCCCCTAGTATGATATTGTTTCCAAATAACATAACAGTCCAATTAAAATGTTTGCTATGCACTTGATTTTTTGATTTTTGCTTCTTTTTATGGATTTCCATACCCCAACAGATAAACTTTTCGAATTCAGAGCTGAGACAAATCAGATATCTTCTTTCCTACTAGGTTCTGCTTAAATGTAAGGCCGAGATGCTATATAAAATCCCCCACTGTGTGGAGATCCAGGCAATATTCCAAGCACAATGGGGTGGAGTGAGGGTGTTTTTGTTCAAATTCTCATTTAGGCTGGATTCTCTCATTCCCTCGTGGTTATAGGTACAGAATCTTCCCTCTGTGATAAAAAGGGGCCTAAAAGTGTCACCTATTGCAAAAAGAGCTCATCCTCGCCGGGTCCAAGCCCATGCAGAAGTCCCTGAACACGTGTCTGCGTGTTATTACAATCTGTAACAATTCGTCTCGCCCGTGTACAGGTGTTGGTTAAAATGCAAATTCTATGCAAAAATGAAGGGCTGAAGAATTCATCAGCGTATGCTGCGTACGGTTTAAATAATTCTTCTTCACCCTGTAAGCAGTCCGCCACATTTCAGTGGGGTAACTCAGGTTATAGCAATTGACATAAAAGAAGGGGAGGGGAAAATAAGTGCAAACCCACTTATGTCATAATTATGCAGCACCACAGGCATCTCTCCTCCTAAAGGGGAGAGAAAGGCCAAACAGAAATAAATAGCTGCCCGCAATTAAAGCCATTAAAAAGAGATTACCTCAAGCAGGGGGGCTGAAGCAGCGGGCAGGGCAGGCTATACCTTGAAAATCGACCATTTGTGACAGAAAGACTGGACACAGAGAAAGTGCCCTGGGAGCTGGGTGTGGCTGGACAAATTCACGTTTTCCCCCAGTTATTTGTCATTAGCATCACCCAATTACCACGGATCGCACAATAGCCAGCGACGGATCTCTCTATGACTCTTTAAAATATGACCTTAAGAAACATCTCCAGAAAAATAAACCAAAGGTTTATAAACCTCCATCTCTGTAGCTTGAAGGAAAAGGGATGTGTGGCAGCAAATGAGCCGATACCATCTTCTGTCAAAACAAACCACCAGCTCTCTTAAGGGCAGCCGAGGGAAACCTGCTCTGAGCAACATCCACTGCCAAATGACACCAACTTCAAGGCAACAAAAAAAACACAGAAAACCGCCTCTGCTCAGCCATCCGGCTCGGTTATCATAGAAACAGATGGGGAGAGACCCCCTGCTGGCGGGGGCAGGGCAGGAGCATCCCCCCGGGCTCCGCCACCCCAAGCACCGCTCCCCGCCCGGCTCGGCTGCTGCTCCCGCTCCCGCTCCCGCTCCCGGTCCCGGTCCCACCTTCTTGGGTCTCTTCCTCCGCTGGCTGCCGCCGTTGCACTTCTCGCCGCCGTCGCTCTTCTGGGCCGCCTCCTCGTTCATCCTAGCGAGCGGCAGTGCCGGCTCCGAGCCGTGCCATGCAGGCTCCGCGCCCAGCCCCAGCCGAGGGTGGCACCGCCGGGGCAGGGCCGGGGGCGGGCAC